GTGGCGATGTGTTCGACTTACTTTTGGTACAGTCTGGTTATCTTTGCTCACTTGTCTCTACCAGTGGTTCTCCGATTAGGCCCTGTCCATGGCTGCTCTGAAGCAGAAGATAACACCTCCACCCCCTCCCACTGAAGCCCCAGTCTACTCCTCCATATGTTTTTTGCTTCTCTATTTGTACCTCTTGTCCTCAACCCAAATGCTTTCCTGAGTGGATATTTGTTAAAAATGTGATTCTGGCTCCTCCGGGTCTCCGTGTTATCCAGAGTTTTTAAAACCCAACAGCAGCATGCTGACTTTGAGTGCTACAAGCAAAAACAATGGAGCCATTTTTACTAGTTTTTCCCTATTTGTCTAACTTGATCCTGACCTTTTTTTTTTTTTTTTTTTTGAAGCTTTGATCATGTAAGACGTAGACATGTTAACATCTCAGTGATGAGTCAGAGGAAATGCAGCAGGACATCACATCTCCCGGGTCAGGCTGTGGCGGTGAAATCAGGAATGGTCGTAAAGCTGGAGATCCATTTGAATGTAGCCTGAGACTTTTAGCTTATTTCTTAAAGATGTGTGTTTGACTCAGATTTCATCTCCCCACACTGACCAATCAGAAAGCAGCTGGATCTGGTCTGGTCTCCAGTAAACACACACAACACTCATCCAGCTTGTCAACTTCAGATTTTTGGTGAGAAAGTTCTGTTCTGGCGGGTCGCCGTGCTGAAGCCTGCAGACGTTTGAGCGTGTTGGGACTCAGTCTGTCAGGTGGATGGGCATGAATCATCATCAGAAGAATTAAACCAAAGTGGTGACTCATTGTGATGATCATCTCAGAGCTGTTCGGTCGGCGTTGGGACCTGGGAAGGAACGATCTGATCCTGGAGGCCGAAGATGACGCATTTAAAGCGTGCAGACGAAGGCTGAAGTGTCCTGATGTGTAATCTGTGCATTGTGACATCAGATGGTTTGAGCTGTAACGTTGGCAGCAGGCCAGCATGATCTCCACTCAGAAGAGGGAATTCACCTCATTAGCAACAAAATTTCATCCATTATTGATCAGACGGTAGATGATTGTTTCCATTTCCTTTCCTACATTCTCTGGATTGATCGGTTGGTTTGTGTGTCTGCTCTGTACAGATGGGTGTCTGTCTCTGAGCTGATTAAAGAGATTAGAGTGGTTTGGACCAGACAAACCCTCACACACACACACACACACACACACACACACACACACACACACACACTGTACTTTACCTTTTCTCTCCTCTGATCTTCTCGTCTCCACGATGGACGGGGCAGATTCCAGTCTTTGACTGAAGCATGTGAGCCTTAAATAAAGTGACTGTTGTTTACTTCTCATGTTTTTAAATATTTAACCAAATTTTTAATGTGCTTGCAGGAATCTGAAGAGCGGACAAACAGAGGAAACGACAGCATGGAGCAGCTTCTAGGAGGTACGAACGTCTAGCTAGGAATCTCAGTTGGACCAATTGGTTTTTATGTCTGTCAGCCAACACCAGATGTAATCTGTTGTCTTTGTATCAACGATAAGTGTGTGAATGTGTCGCTGGCGAGCCTGAGGTATCTTAAGGTGGCATCACATCGTTTGCTAGAAAATTTGCTGCTTGTTGTATCCTGTTAATGTAATGTGATATCTTTGCTAGAGCACAGATAGTACTGGTGCGTGGATGTGAGGGCACCTCTTCTCTTGGAACACAGAATTAGTTCAGCCTAAACCCACATCAGTACATATACCACAGCTTCAAGGAATCTGCTCTGATATTTGTGGCCTTAATTCAAAAATATAACATTTTATCTGTGATTGCAGCTTGTAGGAAACAAAGTATTTTCTATCTCATTTTGTCTATAATCTGCCAATATTCAGCAAGCTACTGAGATTTATTTACGTAGTAACGAATATTGGCTTGCCGTAAACGAGTGTCTGGAATGTTCCTGGTCGTCCTGCCCTCCTGGATGCTCTTCCCAGAAGAAACTTCGAGGTGGACAAAAGGTTTTCTGTGATCAGCAGATTGCTTCAGAGAGAACAGGAAAAGATCAAATCCTGCTTCCCTCCTCGTGACCCCTGACCTCTTGTTCTTGTCTGCTGCCTGCATGATAAAGCGGGACAATCTGCCCTCAGTCTGAACTGAAACATGAGTCCTGGCTGGGATTCATCAGAGTATTTCCCAAACATTAAGAACCTCAGCTGCTGTGCTGTTGGACCAAGAGTGGAACCTCACTGAGGAGTGACAGACCTGGACTGAGCCGAAACTTAGAAAGTGGCCCACCTGTAGGTCTTAGCGTCTGTTTCAACTTTTTATGGCTGTGTGTTTTGAACAGACGGGAGTCTTGCCGAGTCCACTCCTCTCCGGGACAGGATGGCCCTCTACCAAGCTGCCATCTCCAAACAGGAAGTCACTGTGAGTAGCTGGTGTGACGCTTTTGTTCTTCAGATCCTAATGGAGCAGAGGAGGGTTGAAAACAGACACGGCCATTCCTTGGCGACTGAATCCATCTTCCAGATGAAAGTTTCAAAACAAAATGTTAATAAGATGAAGTCGAATTCACTTTGGTGGCTTTTATTAGTTTTGATACTGAGTGCATCGGAAGTCATCAGAATAGCAGATGGAGGTATTAAGGTTTGGAGATGTTCTCAACCTAAAAGTGCGTGAAAGTGTAGCTGATCAGCAGAAAGGTCAAAACTAATGAACAGCAAGGTTCACTATTAAAGGCTCCTGTAAGAATAAAGAGTTTTATTTCCACAAATGTAAGTAATAGTCATACATCTGTGTATTTGACAGCCGGTTTGTTGAAACCGTTTTTCTAACTCAGGAATAAAATGAAAATATTAACCTGCTGTGAAACATATGAACAAATGGTTTAGGGTGGTTTTGGGTGAGGGATCAGACACAGAGCAGCCCGAAGACCTCTTATGATGAATTATATAAATGGAAACCGTGTTCCCTCGCCCGGACGTGGGTCACCGGGCCCCCCCTCTGGAGCCAGGCCTGGAGGTGGGACACGTTGGCGAGCGCCTGGTGGCCGGGCTTTCACCCATGGAGCCCGGCCGGGCACAGCCCGAAGAGGAAACGTGGGTCCCCCTTCCCATGGGCTCACCACTCGTGGGAGGGGCCAAAGAGGTCTGGTGCAGTGTGTGACGGGTGGTAGTCGAGGGCGGGGACCTTGGCGGTCTGATCCTCGGCTACAGAAGCTGGCTCTTGGCACATGGAATGCTGTGTTGGGAGTAACGCGGTACAAAAGTAATTAACTACTGTAATGCATTGCTTTTTGCTGTAATGTGGTAATGTAAGGCATTACAGGGAAAGAAAATGGTAATATTTACTCGGTACAATTGTCAGTAGCGCGGTAATTACAATGCATTTTTAAACCCAGAATCAAGATGTGGGTTTCCTAAAAATTCAAATTGCAGGAAGCCTGAAAAAAGATCCAGTATCTACATATATGACGTCATTTATGGACTCAGCTTTGCGGGCATTCTATGAGCAGAGAGGACGCAGCGGTAATGGCTCAAATACTCCAGCTGCGTCCTGCGCGCGGCCGCTGTTATATTCACAAAATCGCTCCATCAAAACAAAGTAATTTGTTTGCGATCGTTTATATCAGCCCATATTCTCTGGTACTTCATGTACTTTTCAGCTGAGTTCATAATCCGTGCCCCGGTGATTTCAACTCATTGCTGCTGGTTCGGTAGATCCCTTTGGCTGATTAGTTAGAAAGTAGGAAATCTAGGAAACAGTTTTTCTGGAAGACGGAGAAAACATGCAGCATGCAGGAAGGTTAGAGAGAGAAAGGGCCGGAAATTATTCAAATAAAATCAAGAAAACAAAACAAAGTACTGGTCTGTCGTGATGAAGAGAGAGCTGAGTCAGAAGGCGAAGCTCTCGATTTACCGGTCGATCTACGTTGAGCTTTGGGTAGTGACCGAAAGAACGAGATCGCGGATACAAGCGGCCAAAATGAGTTTTCTCCAAAGAGTGGCTGGGCTCTCCCTTAGAGATAGGGTGAGAAGCTCTGTCATTTGGGAGGGGCTCGGAGTAGACCCGCTGCTCCTCCACATCGAGAGGAGCCAGTTGAGGTGACTCGGTCTTCTGGTCAGGTTGCCTCCTGGACGCCTCCCTGGTGAGGTTTTCCGGGCACGTCCAACCGGGAGGAGACCTAAAGGTAGACCCAGGACACGGTGGAGGGACTATGTCTCTCACCTGGCCAGGGAACGCCCTGGGATTCCCCCGGAGGAGCTGGCTCAAGTGGCTGTGGAGAGGGAAGTCTGGGCCTCTCGCCTTAGGCTACCGCCCCTGCGACCCAACTCCGGATAAGCGGATGAAAATGGTTTGATGGAAATGGTTTAGGGGTTGATTTTAGCCTGAAGTGTAATGTTCTCAGCATTATTCAAACAATGTTACTGCAGTGGCCTCCTAATGCTGCGAGTGTTTGCTTTTGTAAATTATATATGCTTTTCATTGGACTCTTATTGTGAAAATCTCTTATGTAAAACTGATGGACAGTAAAACTGGCAGTCTGACACATTAAAGCAAGTAATGTCAAGTATACGTGAAATATCTTAACCTCTGGTTACCAAGCAGAGGGAATTTACCCAGCAACCATCGGGTTGTAAAGCTGTAAATTCTCCTAATCTAAAGGATTACTGCAGGCAGAAGCTGATGACTTGTTAGATCTGTCAACATCAACTTTTTTTCCTCATATTGTGTAAATGGAAGGAATATCTCTAACTTTTCTTTAACATTGTAATAAAACCTCAGTAGCACTTTGCAACAAAGGACCCCAAACTGGGCTTTGTTACTGGAGAACCACTAACAAGTAATGATCAGGGATTCATGGGTAGTTAACCAAGACTTAATGGTAAAATCGCTCACCAGTCTTATTCAGGAAATAATGGGTAGTTATCGAAGGACAGGGAGGAGAAACGGATCATTTCTTACTCGGTACTTATCCATTACCTACAGTTTTTTTATTGTCTAATCTTGACAACTGATTTGTTAAAAATGAAATACAATTATTAATCAACCATTTATTTAAATTCTAACTTCATGAACATAGATATCTAAAACCTACTTAGGATTGATGAGAACTGCAGAAGTTTTTATTATGGAGACTGTACAGTTTTATTCACACACACACACTCAACTTGCACTAAAAAGCTACGGTTTAATTTCTTCTTGTTAAAAACATTGTACATCATCATGAAGCATACATCCAAGAGGATCCTTTCTGTGTTTGTGTGTTTTTTTGCCAGCCAATGAGTCCATGCCATTGTGGCAAGATGTTTAGGAGGATTCAGGGTCAGAGTTAGGAGGGTCAGTGGTGGGAGAGAAGTGCCAGTACCAACTCCAGGTTGGTAGGTGGCGGTAATGCACCTCCTGTTGTCTGCAGGCCGCTATAAAACCCCTAATAGAAGGAGTTACCCATTAGTCCCCAGTTCATTACTCGTTTCCTCCCAAGTCTTTCCCTGGTAACGAAGCACAATTCAGGTTCGTTGTTAAAATCTCAAATTGAATTCAGTGCATTTCAATTCACAACTAGTCGTCTCAAGGCACTTTAAAGAGTAAACATTCCAATTGAACCTAATTATTAGTGCATTGAGTTCATTTCATATGCCAATTACGTTTCCTATCTGCATAAAGAAACCCAGCAGAATGCATCGAGTCACTGACTCTCATGTGGAGTATGCTTGTTGCAACAGTCACCGAGCCTCCAGTGTTTTTGTCTCTTTGTGTCTGTTGAACAGTCAGTTCAAAGGAATGTTGAGTCAAGCAGAACTGTGCTCTAAACCTGGATCTCGCTCAGGTTTAAAACTGGCTCAAAGCGGCAACTCGGATCTGTCAGTTCCCAAAAACATTCAGCAAAGTCGACCTGAAAAACTTTGATCTCAATATTTTACTTGTGTTCAAAACAGAATTTTGCAAAAAATCAAAACAAATTGCAGACTTAAATAAAGGAAACATTCATGAAGATCAGTTTTGTTTTGCTTATTTAGTTTTTATTCAACCAGATGAGTCGATTGAGAATCCATTCTCATTCACGACAATCTGGCTTAGAGACATAAGTAGCTTTGCACCAAAGGACAACAGGGAAGATGAAACCAAACCGAATAAAAACCGTAGACGTAAAAGACTGTTCTCGTTTACAAGCGTCTGTTGTCTGAGCATGTTCTTCTCTGGTTCCGTCAGAGCGATCATGTGGATGGCTTCTGTGGGAAGCAGAAGGAGAATGTTCCTCCGTGCTCGTTGGACATGGTGAGGTTTAAATCACAGCATCTTTGTCTGCTAGTGGAACCATTCTGAACCTGTTCGTGGTCCTTTGTTGTTTTTCCTCTTCTAGAGTCCAGAATCTGAACCAATCAGAAGAGGTCTAACCTCAGAGACTAATGGTAAGCTGCTCTCCATGTTTACCATCACAGCACACGATGCTCCACCATCAGACCAGTTGCTTAGCTAGATAAACGTCGTAATGGTTCCCTCTAGTGTTCACTTTGCATCACTGCTTTTTCAGGTTCTGGTCCAGGTTCCCCATCCTCCTCCAGTCAGAAAGACTCTCCTCAGTCAAAGACCCTTAGGGTGAGTCCATCAGAGGTCCTGTGCCCAGACACCAGCTGAATCGTCATCGTCAGTCTGAATGAGGTTTTTATGTGCAGAGCTTCCACCTGCCTGTGAGGGAGACCTGTGTGTCGTGCCAGAAGACGGTTTATCCTCTGGAGAGGCTGGTGGCCAACCAGCACATCTACCACAGCTCGTGTTTCCGCTGCTCTCACTGCAACAGCAAACTCAGGTCTGGGCAGGGGCGGAGCTTTATGCAGGGTATCCGCGGGTCCTTAAAAAGTCTTAAATTTTCTATTCCAAATTTAAGGCCTTGAAAATCCTTAAAAATAACAAATAATCCTTAAATCCAGTTTCCAAAGGTCTTAAATTACCAAAGACCCAATAAACAAGATTCTTTTATTTCTATAAAATTTTCGTGAATTTCTAGTTGGTGTTCAGCATTTTTTGTGTACGATGTTGGCGTAAGCGGAACCGTGCACGTTCAGTTGGTTGTGAAAGGGGACTATTTTTAGATGAGCACATTAGCTGGTTAAGCTAGTGGGAGCTTGCGCCATGGGGAAGTGCAAGTTCAATGGTAACTGGATGGCTAATCCCACGTTCGCGACGTGGTTAGCACCGGCTCCAGGCAATAGCTGGAAATTATAGCTTAAATTAAATAAAAAAAGTTGCTTGAATTTGGTCAAAGTGGCCTTAAAAAAGGTCTTAAAAAGTCTTAAATTTGGCTCCCTTAAAACTACAGATACCCTGTTTATATGTGCGGGGGGGGGGGGGGGGGGGTCGTCACAGAGGGTTCTCGCACAGGGCGCCATTTAGGCTAGCTCTGCCTCTGGGTCCGAGGCTGGAAAATGTGATGAGTGTAGAAAAAGCATCAGGATCTTCAAAATGTGCTGTTGTCATTCTGCCCAAAAACTGAAGTTAACGTTGCTCGTGTGTCAGAAGTTATTACCCGCTGAAGGAATTGTCTCTAAAACTGTTTCTCAGATTGAACACCATGATTTTAATCAGAGCTCAGTGAACTGCAGAACAGGTGATTCAACCCTTGAATCTGATGTTTTAGGGCAGGGAAACTACTAAAACATGATGGCTAGGACCCCCCCAGGATCGGGGTTAGAGACAGCTGCTTTACAGATCGGCTGATCAAGTAACTTCTGTTTCTGCTGGTGATCAATGCATTTATTTCACATATTGTAACTACGTCATGATGGGAGGCAACGGAGGTAAGCACAGATCAGAATGAAGACCACCACAGACATTCTGGTGCTCCTGGAGCCAATTGATGAGTTACAGATGCAGAGAGATGTGTGATTTTGTCTCAAGAGATCAGAATTCCTTCAGCTGATGAGTTCTTGACTTTTAGTCAGAGTATTAAACGGTGTTAAACTGATGGATCATCTGTTTACATGTGTTATCCCTTTTTCTCCCTCCTGGTTAGTTTGGCAAACTACGCCTCCCTCCACAGCAACGTCTACTGTAAACCTCACTTCTGCCAGCTCTTCAAGGCCAAGGGGAACTACGATGAGGGCTTTGGCCACCGGCCTCACAAAGAGCTGTGGGAGAGCAAGGGTGACGATGAGGTCACCTCACCCCAGTCCATTTCTCTGAGCAAGCCACAGGTCCAGTGCTCCCCATCAGACCAGGAGAGCCCCAGCGTGGAGGACTCCCCGCTGGCCAAAGTCCTGGTCCTGACAGCCAATATGGAAGCTCTGGGTCAGGGGTCAGCAGAGAAGTCTGACAGACTTGCAGAGACCCGTAGGCTGAAGATCTCTTGGCCTCCAAGAACGGAGGCGGAGGACACGCCCAGCCACAGCAGGGCCACAGAGGGCGGCTCCTCCACCAAGCCCATGCGAGCCAAGTGGCCCCCAGAGGAGGACTCTTCATCCCCACCTCCCGAGCAGGACAGGGGTTCACCCTGTCTGCGCCAGGGCTCCTCCCTGAAGGAGCGCAGCCTGGCCTTCTCAGCAGCAGCACAGAGAGATGCAAGTCCTCCTCATGGCAGGAAACCAACTCTGCCTCCTGCTAACGAGGAACAGCTGAGCCCCGAACCCTCTGACAGGGACCACCAGGACAGCACGCCCACTGAGAGCTCCAGGGATGAGGAGGAAGAGGAGGAGGAGATGAAGACCGAGTCTACTGAGAATCTCTCTACAGAGGAGCAGCTTGAAGACACGCCAGGAGGTAAATCGGATGAGGAGGAGCAAATGGATATCCTGGAGAGTGAGATGTCAGAAAAAGGTCAAAGTTCAGCTGAAGCGACAGCCATCTCTTCCCCTGAGGGGGAGGCGGAGGTCAGCATGCCGTCTCAGGATGTGGGGTTCTGGGACAGTGAGGAGGTTGATGACAAGGAGGAGGTGGAGGTGCTCACAGTGGAGGAGATGATCAAACGAAACCGATTCTACGACGACTACGATGACGGTGATGACGCATAGAGTTCTTGCTTTTCTGAGAAGTGAATCGTTTCGAGACAGTTGGTGTGAACTCTGAGCTCTGCCCACGTGCCTCTGAGCAGTCTGAACCACTTTAAGCCGTTCTCACATCCGTTTCCTGTGTAAATGTCTTGGAATTCAGTTTTACAGCGATGAATGATAAAAGCTCTTTAATTGTGAAAGAAAAGTCTGAATTTGGACTAAAAGTAATTTTGAGTTTTCAGCCCTGAAAACCGAGGGGAAGCCACCAGCCGCTCCGACTGAATCTTCTACAAACTCGACGATTACTAGACTAAAAATGAAGTTTTCTTCAGACCCAGCACCTTTAGACTGACTCTTATAATGAGATGTTTGTTTCTGTGGAGAATCCATCCTCTGTCACACTTGTCATCCTTATTTTTAATAAGATTTAAAACGGAATAAAAACTGTTTTTCAAATCAGGACCAACGCTGTTCATCTGCTACTGTTTAATAAATAACGCAATACAATTTTTTTGTCCGAGTCATGTTTTTAACATAAATCTTAGTTTAGCTTAAAAACCTAAAATTTAGCAGTGTTTCTACAAACCTTTTATTCCCTTCCTACTAATTATGCTTTTTAGAACCGTTCGATTCTTTGATTTAACTAAGGAGCGACTCACTCCAAATCAGGTTTTTAGCTGATGAACTGTCCTCGGGCGCTGTCGGTCACTGCTGCAGCACCACCCTCTCGGTCCACCAGCTAATCCCTCCTTTGGACCCATCCTTCAAACAGGAGGTTAGCGTGGAGAAAGACTGGTAGGGGATGACTAGCTCTTTACTTAAAAAGATAAACTTGTTGGTCAGTCAAGTTTATCAGAGACAAGACTGCAATGTAGTTGCTGCAGTCATGTAATAGTCATGCAGCTGGGCAACAAGGGGCATTAACACACTCTTGTATGACAGTCCCATGCCATTTCAGATGTAATCATTTAATTCAATTCAAGTTTATTTATATAGCGCCAAATCACGACAAGAGTCGTCTCAAGGCACTTCACATAATAAACCTTCCAATTCAGGTCAGTTCATTAAGCCAATCAGAAATAATGTTTCCTATATAAGGAACCCAGCAAATTGCATCAAGTCACTGACTAGTGCCAGTGACTTTACAGCAATCCTCATACTAAGCAAGCATAAAGCGACAGTGGAGAGGAAAACTCCCTTTTAACAGGAAGAAACCTCCAGAGGATCCTGGATCAGTATAAGCAGCCATCCTCCACGACTCACTGGGGATCGAGGAGAGACACGCACGACAAGTAATGTGTCTATAGTTATATTGTGATGTCTTAGTAAATATTCTATTTGGTGAAAGATAAATTTTATTGTATTTATCCGTTTATCCTTCGTTACTCTTTGGACTCCTGCCCCAGGACTCCTGGGGTGCTTTCATCCAATGTCCCATAGAGCTCATGGTGAAGAGGCCGAAGCCATCTGGATCTGTAGTTGACGTACTCCCTGCTAAGCTGCTAAAAGAAGCTTTTCCAGTTGTGGCTCCTTATGTTCTGAAAATTAAGAGCAGCCTACCATCTAGGGAAGTTCAAACATGCGAATAATGCTGGCCAGATTCATCTAACACAGTGGTTCCCAACCTTTTTCCCAAGGGACCCCGTTTTTTTACCAGTAACATTTTTGACGACCCCCTCCCATTCTCTCTTCCAGTACAAACATTATTAAGAAATGATAAAATTGTTCAAGCACATTTTAATATGCTTTGATTCAATAGATAACAGTAATAGTAGGCTCCAGTACAGAACAAAGTCATTAAGAAAACCAAACAGAGCATTATGTGCTTGACAGTTTGTATTACTTTTCTGAACACATTGTTTCTTGTAAACACTGATAAATCAATCATTCCTTTAAATAAATGTTTGACACATAAAAAATACACTGAGCAAAATGTACTTAAATGTGTATATTACTGTTTATACTAGATTATTTACTGTAAAGGCTGTGATTAATCAACCAGTCCTATCTTTAATGAACTTTTGACACTTGAAAATAAAACAGTGAGCTGAGCAAAATGTTCTTAAAAGTGTGTTACTCTTTCTGTACTAATTATTTCCTGTCTTAATATCAGTAAAATGTTCACTCAGGAAAAAAATTGTGAGCAAAATGTAGACTATAAACAAGTAATAAATGGTTTTAACCCCTTAAAGTGGAGAGGCCCTGGCGACCCACTGAGAGGCTTTGGTGCCCCCTTGTGGGGGTCGGGACCCCCAGGTTAGGAACCACTGATCTAACATCAAACTATAGACCTGTTTCCACACTTCTTTTCTTTTACCCAAATTATGTCCTTTCTACATGAGAATGAGATCTTAGAGGTTTTTCAGTCTGGGTTTAAGTCTCTCCATGGTACAGAATCAGCCCTATTGAAGGTTCTAGATGCTGTCCTGATGGCCAATGATTCTGGGGATGCATTGATTATAGTAATTTTGGACTTAACGGCAGCATTTGACACCGTGAACCTTAATATCTTGATTGGTTGACTGGAGCACTGGGCGGTCATATCAGGCCTGGGACTCCAGTGGATTAAGGCTTACCTTTCAGGGAGAACTTTAGTGTAAGACTAGGGGATTGTTCATCTAATATTGCTAATTTGCCTTGGGGGAGTACCCCAGTGATCCATCCTGGCCCCCCTCCTCTTCTCCCTCTATCTGCTGCCTCTGGGTGACCTTTTTTTGTAGGCACATCATCAAGTTTCACCTGTGAGCAGATGATTGTCAAATCTACCTCCCAGTAACACACAATAATACGAGGCTCATTCAACCACTCTTGGACTGCTTGGACGAGGTCAAATTATGGATGGCTCAGAATTGTCTGTGCTTCGTGCGTATACCAGAGTAAAACTGAGACTATCCTGTTTGGCCCGACAAAGAGTGATGAAGGTGCCCAAGCGGTTGGCTCTCCTTCATTAGCACCTTTAGAGAAGGCGGTGGTCACCAACCTGAGGGTGAAGTTGGATGTGGAGCTCAGACTGGACAGCCAGGTCAATGGAACGATTAGATCATGGTATTTCCATCCCAGGAGAATAGGTAGGCTTAAGCCGTTTTTTTTTTCACAAAACATTTGGAAATGGTCATTCACGCCTTCATCACTACCAGGCTGAGCTATTGTAACTCTCTTTATGCAGGCATCAAGCAGGCCTTCATAGTGAAGTGATGGCCCATAATGCAGCGGCCAGGTTATTGGCCAGTACCAGGTCAGAACACATCACGCCTATCTTAGCATCCTTACACTGGCTTCCAGTCCCTTTTAGAATTTCGTTTAAGGTTCTGTTGTTTAAACGGATTGGCTCTGCAATATCTATCGGATCTGATTCGGCCTTGCATTCTATTGCGGCCCCTTCGGTCAGTGGAGCGGGGACTGTTGGTAATGCCCAAGCACAGATTCAAATCACGAGGGTGTCATGCCTTCTCAATACTGGGGCCGAAGCTCTGGAATGAGCTGCCTGCAGACGTGAAGCAGGCCACCTTGCTCAGATTTTAAGAGCCGTCTGAAAACACACTTCTATTTAATTGCTTTTCCTCAAAAGGAGCCTAGCTAATGGGTGGTTGTTGCACTTTTGTTCGATCCCACCCGGATTTAACTGCAAGTTTGTAATTGACATTTTAATAGCTTTAAATGTTTTCTCTCCTTTATTGTTTTACAGTGCTTTGTTTGTAAAGGCACTATATAAATAAAGTTGACTATGATAAATCTGGAGGAAATCTTAAACATCTTAGCAGCAGGATGGTCCTTTGCACCTGCTACTAGAGGCTGACTTCCCTCTATCAGACACACTCCTGTTGCCGATGATGGCTTCCGGGTCACGATCCTGGTTTGGCCGTGCATGTGTCTGTTACCCATCCATGTCGTTGGGAGACATGAGGGAATTTTTCTCGCCTTCTCCAGGTCTGCCTGATTGAGAGGTGCAGGAGACCGCTGTCTGCTGTTCTGTTTTCTTCAGTTAGGTTCTGCTCTCATTGAGCTTTTACACAAATATCCTGCTACAATTAAGAGTGCATCACTGTTGTTTGTTCTGATGAGTCACAGCAGTCTCCAAACTGAGGGCGGTCTACTGGTGTCTCCTGCTGGTGCAAACCTTCCGATTACTCCAGATAATTGGCCTGTAATGAGCAGTGACGTCTCTGCATGAGCAGCCAATGGGGCGAGGTTGAGCCCCACCTTGTGTGTGTGTGTGTGTGTGTGTTGATTTCTCGTTTTATTTGTGGTGACATGAGAAAAGCAAAGCTGGCATCAGGACAAACATAAATGCTGTCAAACAACCCTTCAGTGATGGTTAGATGAAATTTTCTGTATTTCTTAAAGTTGTTTGAGGGCCTAGCAGCAATGCAGGCCCCTTCTTACAGAGTACTCTTTCATCAAATTGAATGCAACCTCAATTTCTAATTTTTCCTGAAGGAAAAATTCTCCAGCTCATCCTTGAGGTCACCGTTCTTTTTCTTTAGATCATCAATTTCCTTCTTTAAGTTTCATTGAGGGTGTCTCAGCTCAGATTCCTGGTTTAATCTGTTTAGCAGATCTTCACACAAAGCTTCCTTTTCCTGAAGTCTGCTCCGTTTTTGACAGGTCTCAGCATTACTTAGGTTATAACCCAGCCCCTGTTTGAGTTGATTGACTTCATGTTTGTAATATTCAGTCAATTTATGCTTTTATTTTATTTTTCCCATCGTAATACAATTTATCTGTAAGGATCAGGTTTAGTTGGACCTCTTTCTGCATCGTCAAAAGGAAATGGCTTTTTTTTTTATTAGTGCCAGAAGATTCCTGCTGGAAGGGCCCAGATGGAGTGTTTTCTTGTTATTTGAACATCATTTCCATTCATCCTGAAATCAGCACTTTAGTGTTTAGAGGTCTTGAGCCACTATCATTAGAATCACTATTTCTGCCTTTTTATTCTGGTCATAAGGACTGTGGACTAGCAGGGACTACACCAGGCTCAAGACCATCCAGACTTGTTTTCTGAGTCATTCCACAACGGTGGAACGACCTAGTGCGTTCTACCAGAACAGGGGTGTTCCCGTACGTCTTTTGAGGACCCAGTCTTTCAGAGAGCACCCCCCTTCTCTTGCTCTGCTTTGAAGGAGAAGCTGGACAGGGTTGCTAGGGAGAGGAGCGCCTGGGTTCCTCTCCTGGACCTGTTACTTCTGTGAATTGGATTGAACAAGGATTGACTGACGAACACATTTGCCAGGTTGCCTCAGTGGATGCTTATTTATTTTTTAAACCGTTCTTGGAAATCTTCTGTTGCAGTTACTGTTGGCTTCACACAAACGTTTGAGTCCCAGAGATCTCTGATGAATGTATTAAATGCAAACAATATTAAAAATCTATTTTTAATAAATACGGTGCTGGAGACACTCACCAGGAACAAACAGGTGGGTGTAGTTTGCTAAAAGCTCTTTACTTTTATGCAGAAATGTTAAATAAAAAAACCAATACTGGACTGCATCAAAGGTATTATTGTTCTATAGGTCAGACCTTTTCATTGCACCGGGTTATGAATCTCTCTAACAAATATAAGTGGATGCAAAGACTGAAGATTTGCATAACCTTCCTGTCAGGACCTTGATGTCATTCCCTGAATTTTACACGATTTAGCATTTAGGTCTCTTTATTCAGTCACAACCACACACAATAAATGAAGAGACAAATAAATTGTTGCTTTATGTAAAAATAACCCTTTTTATTGAACAAATGTTCTTATTTTATACTAGTTTGAAATGATCCTGTGTCAGGTTTGTGAGGTTAATCAGTTTCAGTTTTTGAATCAAGTGGTGTAGTAACCAAGTCCCAACCTTTAGATGGCAGCGACCCGGTACAAAAGACTCCAAGCTGAGCTCTAAGAGGATCTTTGTAAATGTAAAACTTGATTTCCTGGATATATATCACTACTACACTTTTTATATCACAATACACATCTCCTTATTTACATATCTACAACTTCTGGTAGCATGTTTGTAGTCTGAGGAAGGCTACAGCGTTAGCCCAAACTTGTCAGCTTAAAAGGTGTAAACAAATCTTTTGTACGCTGTTTAGAAACGAACCAAGCAACGGAATTAGCCGCATTACACAGAATGAACTTTGTTATAATTTTGATGATTGTTTTACAACTAAAATTAAAAATAATCCAAACAGACCACAAATCGATTCCATCATTAAAACCTTTGAGTCCAAAACGAGGGTATTATAGTGCAAACAAGGCAGAGGTCTTTTCAATAACACATCAGGGACAAACCTGGAGTCACGTCTAGCTCTAATTTGGTGAAATATTTCTGAACAGTGAGACTCGGTAAACCAGAAAACCCCGAACTGAGACGTCATCTCTCTCTTTCTGATGTCTTTTCTACAGTCCAGCCCTGCTGAACTTCTTACACGAGTCAGAAAATAACAGCTAACACCGCCGTCAGCAGAAGGAATTTAAACCCTGAGACACTTTTGCATCACATTATTGTTTGTGCTTTAGTGAAGAACTTTGTGATGATTCTCTACGGAAACCCAAAGCCTGGGTGGAGCTCTACGGTGGATTTTACACTGGTGACATTTGAATGGATTGTCTCCAAACATTAGTACTTAGTGAGGAAATCGGCTCTGGCGAACTTGACAGAACACAAAAATAATTTTTTCTTTCTTTCTGGAATTTATGTTTCATCTTCCAACTTAAGCAGTTACTGGTTCTTATGAACCAAACAGCCGTGATGTTATAACTCATAAACCCGATACGGGAAAAATAAAATAATGAAGCATCTGGTTCTACAGTGACTGATCTTATTTCATTCGGAGAGACGCACTTGGACCTCCCCAAGTCCCGTTTTTTGTCCTAGTTACTTGTGGAATTCCCCAGAGCTCCGTTCCAGGCCCAGTACTGTTCTCATTACACATGCTGCCTTAAGGATTAATTCTGAGGAAATGTTACAGACACTCCACTCACAGCTGGTAAACCTAATGTTATCAGAGGAAGCGAAAAAAGTAAGGAAATGTTTTTTTTTGTGTGTTTTACTTCATCTTAAAGTAATATTGACTAATAAATGTCAACAAGCGAATCCTTGTTCTTTATATGTTGTTATGAGTTTCAAAACTTATAAACAGGGTATCTGCAGGTTTAAGGGAGCCAAATTTAAGACTTTTTAAGACCTTTTTTAAGGCCACTTTGACCAAATTTAAGCTATTTTTTAAATTAAATTAAAGCTATAATTTCCAGCTATTGCCTGGAACCGGTGCTAACCACGTCGCGAACGTGGGATTAGCCATCCAGTTACCATTAAAGTTGCACTTCCCCGTGACGCAAGCTCCCACTAGCTTAACCAGCTAATGTGCTCATCTAAAAATAGTCCCCTTTCACAACCAACTGAATGTGCACGGTTCCGCTTACGCCAACATCACACACAAAAAATGCTGAAGACTAACTAGAAATTCACGAAAATTTTATAGGAATAAAATAATCTTGTTTATTGGGTCTTTGAAATTTTAATACCTTTTGAAACTGTATTTAAGGATTATTTGTAATTTTTAAGGATTTTTAAGGCCTTAAATTTGGAAAAGCAAATTTAAGACTTTTTAAGGACCCGCGGATACCCTGAATAAACTTGATGAGTTTTCTTTATTTGAATTTTGTTGCTCTGGACAGATTTTATTTGGTGGGTCAGAACTGGTTCTGATGGTAGCGAAGCCTGCTGGTTTCAGCAAACATCAGTCCTACAGAAACAGGACACCACCAACACCTCGAAAACAGCAACAACAAAAAAATCGTGCACAGGCTTTAAGAAAACGTCCAGCTGGTCCTGAAAGTCACCAACATTTGAATTTAAGCTCATTTATTTATTCAGCACCTTTAATGTACATTCACCACTTGTGAATAAAAATAAAAATATCCTTAATTTTTAAAGTAATCTTACGCGTGTTATGCAGTTTCGACAAAAGCGACACGGTGTCGGTACAAACTAACCAGCAGACGTCTCCAAGAACGTCAGTCCTCCCTAATAATTTGGTTAACACGGAATCCTTATAGTGCAAAAACAACCTGAACACACACAACCATAGACAGCACACCCATTTTCACCTGGAACCTGCTTGTGCTGACCCAGGAATGTCCTATGCTGCTCAGCAGCCGCATCTCCAGCCTGATCGTGTTCACCAGAACCTGGATGCAGACCAGGGGGGAGGGGTCTGTTGGTCTGGTTCTGCTCTGCTGGGGGTCAGGACAAAGGGGCTGAGCGTTCCATGCCTGGTGGGGGATTTCAAAGTGCATGCAGGAGGAGGTCCGCATGGGGGATTGGGACCAGTGCAGATTGCATAGAATAAACTTTTCATCTCAGGAGTCTGATGGTGCAGCAGTTCAGGTCAGGTCAGAATCGTGGAGCTGCCTGTTCGGTTGCAGAGCTGTGACTGAAAGATTTTTATGAATAAGGTCCATGCTGATGTGGTAGACAGTGAGGTTAATGTGTGCAGCTGAGTGGAGTGTGTTCTGGCTCAGCAGATCCGGACTGGGCTCTTGGCTCAGCCGCTGAGAGGGTGCAGGTCCACCTTCACCTTTTCTCCACTGCTCAGCATCCCCACGGTGGGGTAGAGGCCTCCAGGAGGAACCAGCACCTCTCGTCGGCCCATCAGCTCCCCGTTCCGGGTGAAGAACACCTGCAGGACCGAATGCTTTGGATGAAGAATCAACTCAAACACAGAGAGGGGGAACCAGAAACAACAGCCGGCAGAGGAGAACTCTGTTCTTAGTGTAGGACCTGAGAGTGCACGGTCAGCAGCTCCAAAAGAGTCTGTGCTGGGATTAAACCGTGATTAATGCATTTGTCCCAGTTAAATAAACATCTGAGTAAATAAATGAGAAAATGTGGTAAACCAGGGGTGGGGTGGGGGGGCCAGTAATGTTTAAAGAACACATCTACACTAGATCACAGACGAATCAAACATCCTACAGCCGGCCCGCAGAGAACACACACACACACACACACGCACACGCACACACACGCACGCACACACACACACACAGCTCTACTCCACTCAGACCAAACAGCGACACACTAAAACAACAAAGTCGAGTGCTGTCGAGTGCGCGCTGCTGATAAATGAGCCTGAGTCACATATCAAACATTTACAGAACCACCCACTCCAAAAAGAAACCCGTTTAATTACAGCTGAGGGGAACATATTTCATTAGTCTGAATAACAGAGGCGGTACGACGTGTGCTGGAACGTTACGGTACATCAAGACTAATGTGTCCCGTTGAATAAATATCAACGAATCCCTGGATTAGAAGCCGGCCCGCTCTCCTCTCACCCACCTGGGGTTGGGCCCTGCTAGCCTCGCTGCCACTCAGTGACCTCTGATTTCACAAGGCCAGCTCAATGAGCTGAGAAAACTTAAAACCTCTGTATTTAAAACTAAAACAACAAAAATGAGTTGAAGGGGTTCGGCTGGGTCCACTGAGGGAGCATTAACAAAGGCTCCAAAAACAAAAACGCTGCACAGAAACAAGGCCAGTTGCCTCCTGGTCTGGTTGGAATAGCTGTGATCCTGGTGTACAGTGATGAGCTGGTGCCAGGAAACAAAGCCTACTAAAAGTTCCCAACGGAGCAGGGTTCTAAACCTAGAACCATGGTTCGGAGGTTCTTTTTAAATTCAAACACATAATCAGGACTGCTTTGTAGCACCAGTGTAGACATGTGACAAAGAAGAAAGGCAGTAAGGAAGTTTATTTTGTCAATCGGATGGAGATCAGGTGGTTTTAAAGCCCTGGAGTAGTAGTTCCATTTCTCTGGTACCTTTTACACCATCCAGGCTCGACTATTGAGGGACAAGCTGGAGATGGCAGGAGTGACCACCACAAGTCACACTGGATATTGGACTACCTCACAGAACGCCCACAGCTTGTTAGGGCTGTGTTTCTGACTAGCTGGAAGGAACTGAGCTGGCACCGTTCCTGTTCGCCCTCTACATTGTAGACTTCTCGATCAACTCCGCAGGCTGCCATCTACAGAATTTCACCGATTACTCTGCTGTAGTCAGCCTCATTAAAAATGAAACAGACTCAGAATAAAGCCAGGGGCCACAGAATTGTGTGGACTGGTGTCAGCAGATCCACCTCCTGATCAACACAGGGAAAACCAAGGAGCTGGTGCTAGATTTTTGCAGACACAGGCCCTCTGCATTGGTATCGGTGAACATCCAGGGAACAGACACTGAGGTAGTCTTAGGAACTAGGGTTTTACTTGAACAGCAAGCTGGACTGGAGCCACAACGCTGGTGCTCTTTTCAGGAACGGTCAGAGCAGATGCTACCTGCTGAGGAGACTGAGGTCCTTTGGAGTGCAGGGGGCACTCCTAATGGCCTCTTTTGACTCTATGGTGGTATCAGCTATATTTTATGCTGTGGACTGTTGGGGAAAAGACTTATCTGCTGCAAGGAGACAGAGACTAGAGTAAGAAGGCCAGCTCTATTTTAGGATGTCACATTGATGAAGTGCAGGAGGTGGGAGAGAGAAGGACTCTAGCAATAACATCTGTCGGTTAACAGACCATATGGCCCACAGAGGGCCATCCCACTAAATACTAAATAAGGTATGGCACTTAACCTGTATGAAACGAGTTAAATTGGATTTCTATAATCCAGATTTAACGTTGTTGTATTTTTTTTTTCAATAGGGAATCTGACCAAATCACAAAACACACAATATGAAGAAGAATAAGAAAAGAAATTTTCTATAGCGCCTCTCAAGATAAAAATCACGAGGCACTTCACAAAAAAACAAAAAATGTAAAAATATAAAAAAGAATTTAGAGAATGATTAAGAATATATTTAAAATGAGCAAAAAAATAGACAATTGTGATTAAAAAATGTAAAGAAAGAGAAAGAGAGAGAGAATAAATAGGAAAGAGGGAAATCAGTGGAGCCTGAGGAAGGTGGAATAGGTAGGGAGAGCAGAACAAGGAGAGGGTGATGAAGCCAGCCTGAACAAGTGAGTCTTCAGCTGCTCTTTAAAGGAGACCACTGAGTCCACTGATCTCAGGCTCAGGGGGAGAGTGTTCCAGAGTCTGGGGGCCACAGCAGCAAATGATCTGTCACCTTTGGTCTTTAGTCTGGTGCTGCACAACCAGTAGATTTTGATCACTGGACCTCAGGGACCTGCTGGGGGTGTAGGGACTGAGAAGATCACCAATGTAAGATGGTGTTTGTCCATGTAAGGCCCTATAGACCAGAACCAGGATCTTGAAATGAACCCTGAAGCTGACTGGCAGCCAGTGAAGCTGGAGGAGATGTGGGGTGATGTGGGTGTGTTTGGTAAAATGAATGCAAGTATCAGCTCTAAACATAACATCACAGACTAAACTCCAAAAATGTCTTCTTGTCTTACAAGTTTCTCCTGACTCTAACTTTTTACTTGAGTCTGCAGCTTTCTCTGAGTCATCCCTGAGAACACAGGCGTAATCAAACCAGCAGCTAACCTGGTTCCTGCTGCACTTATGGGTTCTTCTCTTTAGTATCTCTAGTGTTTATGGCTATCTTGTTTTCCCCACTGGGTGGAAGCAGACTGGTTAAAGTATCTTTTCGCAGTTTTTCCCTTTCAGATATTATGTATGATTTTTCAGAAATCCATAAAAGTGATTATCTTATGTACTGTGATATAATGTAAGCAATAAGTCTTTTTTATTTATTTTTTGCTAAGCACGATCCCTGCCCCGCAGAGCTCCGTGCAATAGGAAACTGAGCACTGACCAGAACTAACCATTAGCGTTAAACTACCGCTTACCTGCTTCAAGTTTAAGGAATACCTCGACTGATACAGAGTTGATTAACTTTTCACAGACAAGTAAGTGTTTAAAATACAAATATATGAGAACACAACATGACGTGAGAATAATACTTGTAAAACAACTTGTTTTAGCTGTTTGTCGGCTACAGAAGCACATTTATAAACAAGAAACGAGAAGTCGCCATCTTAAAAAAACAGGAGAAATTATTTGTGTGATATGCTTGTCAGCCACTAGATGGTGCCATCGGATAAGAGAAATACTCCGGAAAGAGACTTTAAGGAGTAAATTATCCCCAAAATATCATTTTATTTGCTTATAAACTGTATAATTGGGTATTTACAAATGCAATCTTTCTGTTTCTGTGCATTTTTATAAAGTTGATTAAATCTAGAATATAGGTCTAAAAACGTCTTAGTGCTGCCCCCTGTGGCAGAACAGCAGCTACTGCATGTTAAACTTGTGATTGACATCGGTACAGTCTCCTCCCACTCCCCTTCCCTCCCAGGATGGAAATTCCCCACACTTGGCCATGCCACTCTGTACCTCCTGGCAACGCCCACTTTCATGGCATTTTTCAAATCTTGACTAGGGGGTGGAGTTACATTTTCAGATGGTGTGCAGTCCCTCTTTAACTAGCGCCTTACACTGTGACATCAATCAGTCTTTAAGAAGGGAGCTGTTTGTTCTACAGAATGACACAACTACTCGTACTGACCGAAACTCTCCGACGACAAAACGAAAACAATCCACTGTTCAAATATTATTTAAGTGATTCCAGGATCTGCAGGACTGTGGTGCTTTCCCTTATGAGTTTGGCCTTCTGCTGGCAGATGCAGACCTAAACTGACTTTTTTAAATCTAAAGTTGCAGATTCAAGATCCAGCATGTTAGCTTGATTTTGATAAAGCGCCCTCTAGGGACCTACAACCCGCCAAGGCGCTTCACAACACAGCAAGTATTTCACCTGCACACACTAATCTTCACACACTGTTGGTGAGCTACAATGTGGCCACAGCTGCCCTGGGGGCACTGAAAGAAGGGAGGGTGCTGAGCACTAGTGACCACTGGACCACCAGCAGTAGGCGAGGACAGTAAAATGTCTTCCCCAGAACACGACTGTGACAGACGAGGCTCAAATCTGCAGGCGGTGCTGATGTGACTTCCAGTAGTTTCCAGGCTGAACAACCGCATAAACATTTCAGCTAAAAAGTCAAAATGATCTTTATTTTATTCAAAATCCAAGTTTGCTGCAGCCAAGAGATCATGCCCTCTCATAGGACTGATTAAAGAAATACAATTAGTAACAGATCTTTTGATTTTGGATCTATCTGCAGCATTCGACACGATCGATCATGACATTTTGATCACAAGACTTCACACTTGGGCTGGCATTTCAGGCACAGCCCTAGATTGGTTTAGGTCATACTTTTGTAACAGGTCTGCTAGGGTCATATTGGATGGCTGCTCATCCGAGTCACAGCCTCTACGTTGGGGTGTCCCACAAGGTTCAATTCTCGGCCCGTTACTGTTCAACCTCTATATACTGCCCTTAGGAGCCATTTTCAGAAAGCACGCTGTCTCATACCATCTTTACGCTGACGACTGTCAAATCTATTTTTCATTTAAGCCAACTCAATCAACGAAAGTTCTGTCTGATTGTATCCTTGAGGTTAAGCAATGGCTAGCTGATAACTTCCTCCATCTCAATGACTCCAAAACTGACTTAATCATTTTCAGTCCTTACAGTACCACGGCTACTCATCAACCTGACCTCAACTATCTCTCACCTAATGTATCCTCCGTAATCTCCAACCTTGGAGTAAAAATGGACCAGGCTCTGAAGATGGATGCCCAGGTCAATAACACAGTTAAATCATGTTTTTACCAACTAAGACGCATCTCGAAACTAAAGCACATCCTGAGTGTCCGTCTTCTGAAATCCGTGGTCCACACTTTCATCACCTCAAGGCTGGATTACTCTAACTCCTGCTTATACGGCATCAGTAAAGCAGCTCTCTCTAGACTTCAGCTGGTCCAGAATTCAGCAGCTAGGTTGCTGACTGGAGCTGACAGAAGACAACACATTTCTCCAATTCTGAAATCTCTCCACTGGTTGCCCGTGCAGTTCAGGATAAATTTCAAAATTATGCTTCTGACTTACAAATCCTTGAACCATCAAGCTCCTCCATATCTGTGTGAACTTGTCCATTACTACAACCCGCCGCGTGCTCTCAGGTCTGAAGATAAGCTCCTCCTAGCTGTTCCGAATGCTCGTTTAAAAAGCCGTGGAGAAAGGGCTTTCTCTGTCTGTGCACCGAAGCTGTGGAACGCATTACCACTGCCAGTGAGGCAAGCACCAACAGCTAGCATTTTTAAATCACGCATGAAAACTCACTACTTCAACCTAGCTTATACCACATGATTATGAACGTTACTCACATCTGCACTGTTTAAAAATGGACTTCACAATATCAACTTCCGTACTATTGAGGTTATTTTTTAAAATGTTTTTCTAATTTTTTATTCTCCCTGTGTTTTATTGATTTTTAGCTGTTATTTTTGGGAATTTTGTTGCATTTCCTTTTTATCTTCTATCTGTGTTCGACATGTTTGTATAACGCCGGTTTAATTAACTAACATTTTTAGTGTACAGCGCCTTGTTTGGTTGTAATGCCTTGTGAATGCGCTTTATAAATAAAATTGGATTGGATCTTGTCAACAATAACCTGCTCTTGGAAAACGTGCCTGATTTTGTTTCTCAGAAATACAGAGGAGATGGGCGGGGGCCCTTTAGGTTTCAGGCGGGGACAGGATGCTCCTGTTTTTATCACAGCTCTTTTAAAACCTCTCCCACTCAAACTAAATACCTATGAGTGTTTCAACTTTTAAACAAATGTGTAATTACTAGCTTCTCATAAACATGGCGTGGTTTAATGATGAGTTTGCTGTAAATGGTCCCAACAACATATTTAGGCCTTTTACGATTTATCCATCTGTTGAACTCTGCACGTCTTCAAACAAGACCACTGAAAGCATAATGAAGCAGCGCACATAAGACAGGTCATGTGGAACAATCACGTCAGATCAGGGAGCTGGTCACAGCTGGCCTAGAGTCGGTAGGATGCGGTGCTTCTGGATCAAAGTGAAACGTGTAGGCGGCCCACAGCTCTGACTGGTTCACAGTTGATGTCCTAGCTGCACCCTGCTGCTCGCACTCAGGTCAGCAGATCAGATGCTTCGAAACATCCCAAAGGCTCACAGCCAGGCATGAGGGTGTCTGCAGCAGCAGCCGCTCTGCCACCATCAGGTCAGACCGCCCACCCTCACAACATGGTTTTAAAACTCACTTCAAAACACACTTATCCTCTCTCAGCAGATGTTTTACAGTGATCCCTCGCTACTTCGCGGTTCGTTTATCGCGGATTCACGACTTCGCAGATTTTTTCTTTGGAGCCTTATTCAAGGGAAATTCGCCGATTCGCGGTATTTTTCACCGATTCGCGGTATTTTTCTATGTGAAATATCAAGAAATTCCTGTTTTTTTTTCATCAATTTCCTCATAAAATGCACTTTTTGTAATAAAACTATAAAAAAAACAAGTAAAAAATTTTTTCTATGTAAAGGGAGGGTTTTAAAAGTCTGAATACCTGTTAAATAAATACTGTAAATATGGTGTCCCTACTTCGCGGATTTTCACCTATCGCGGCCAGGTCTGGAACGCATCTACCGCGATAAACGAGGGATCACTGTATTGCTTTTATATTTTATCGTTTACATTTAAGATGTGTGTTGGGATGGATTCAGAGCTACATGAACCAAAAGCAAAACATATCTCCTCGCTGTGCGTTTGTCTTTTTAACACCTTAATCTAACAGCTGAAATGTCTCTCCAGCCTTCATTAGTGTCTACAGCAGTGATTAAACACTAAATTAAACACATCAGTGGTGTTCATCATCTAAAACATACAGGAAACATGCTGGAACCAGACTGCAGCACCAGGTATGTCAGCTCAATTTTTTCTAAGACCAATAGACCAGACCGACAACTCTGAAGTTGCAAGTGAAATATTCTGGCCACAGAGGTCGATAGGAGCTGCATGGCCTTTCATTAACCCTGTAAAGGGTAATTTTAGCACATACTGGCTCAAGAAAATGATTAAAAAATATAAGAGATAGTTGTAAAGTACCCCTTTATAGCGTAACTCACCATGACTTTCCTTCCCCCTTGCTCTCTCTCTGCTTCTTCGCCCTCCTCCTCCTCTTCCCCTTCCTCCTCCTCCTCATTGAGGTACAGACAATTCTGGACGTCTGCTTGACCCGGGTGGCTTTCCAGCTGATCCAAGTCGTCCATGACACCTGAAGACAGAACAAAGCAACACAACCACTGAAATAACAGCTCAGGAGCAAGTGAACAGAGCAGCAAGAGAAAAACCATGTTTGGATGCGCTGATCTGGTTCTGGTGAGTGAAGGCAACACAAAAGCAAAGTGAGTAACATTACAGACTAGTCACAATGCTTATAGAAAAGAATCACCCCCTTTGAAAGACTTTGATTTAGTTTCTTTTACAGCCTTAAATAAAATCACCAACAAAAAATATCTTTTATCAGTTACTTATGTAACTAGCTGGTTTTATGTAACTGGCCTCTACACTATACCCAAACCCGTGGGCACCCAGGCGGATTGGTGCTGCATCTGCAGTGATGCGGGTGTTGTACTAGTCTGCTGGGGTGAAAAGAGCTGGGGTCTCATTTACCGTGTGTGTGTGTGTGGGGGGGTCTTGCTCTGTGTGAAAACGAAGCAGTACAAGTGATAATGCTGAAGGATTTCATAATGTTATCCTCCTCAGCAGCAGCACTGCAGGTGCTCTCCATGTCCAACATGTGCGTAAGCCAGGTCCTTAGTCAACTTAAAGCTGCACACATTTCTCTGCTAAGTTTTCTTTCATAAATCCCAAAGTTTGCGTGGAAAGTTGCTTATGCAGTTTTCCGACCCCGTTTTGTGCGTAAGCAAGCTTGATAAATGACGCCCCTGGGCTGGAAGGCAAAGCTCTCGATTTACCGGTTGACTTATGTTCCTACCCTCACCTATGGTCATGAGCTTTGGGTAACGACCGAAAGCATGAGATCATGGATACAAGCGTCTGAAATGAGTTTTCTCCGCAGGGTGGCTGGGCTCTCCCTTAGAGATAGAGTGAGAAGCTCGGCCATCCGGGGGGAGCTTGGAGTAGATCTGCTGCTCCTCAACATTAAAAGGAGCCAGTTCATGTGGCTTGAGAATCTGGTTAGGATGCCTCCCTAGTGAGGTTTTCTGTGCACTTCCAACCAGGAGGAGATCCAGAGGAAGACCCAGGACACGCTGCAGGGACTATATACCTTGGCTGACATAAAAATTTCTTAAGATTTCCCTGGAAGAGCTGCCTCAAGTAGCTGGGGTGAGGAAAGTCTATGTCTGTCAGCTTAGGCGGCTGTCCCTGCAACCTGACCCCGGATAGCCAGAGGAGAAAATATGGTTTTATTAATGTCAATATTTCTTTTCTTTTTTTTTCAATTTCATTCCAGTCAGTGCTGGTTTTATTATTTTTTAATATTTATTTATTTATTTATTTTTCCCATGTCCTGTCTGGCTGTGAAGCAAACAGAATTAATGTCTGAATGCTGGTGACAAGCCTTACAGATTTACTCTCAGGTGGAGCATCAAAGCTTCTGCTTTTAATGTCACGCCTGATACTTAAAACTTTATTGTTATTGTTTTTTGAAAGCATGTAATGCCGACCGGACACGGAGGTGAAAGAGAAAGGAAGAGACGGGGGAGGGGGGGGGGGGGGGTCCCACAAAAATAAACAATCAATGATGAACAAGAGTCTGCTTCTAGACCTGCAGAAAGAGAAAAAAAGAAAAGGGACAAACAACAATACAACAGGAGCAAGCTGTCACTGCGTCAACATAAGATCAACATTGTTTTACTGAACAATCACGATAATAAATCACAGTGCATTTAGTGCCAACCACAGCCTTAAGACATGTGTTGGATGTGCCCAAGTCCATACTTATGAAAGCACCATGTGAGCACCTGTGTGTGTACATGCGCTTGTTTATGTAAGATTTCTCTATAGGAGCATCCAATAGAGCGTGTGAGGGGCCACAGATCTGCCCCCCAAAGATGTCTAGGAGATGGAGGCAGCTCTAAGTCACAGAGATCCAGGAGCTGCCCCAGAGAGCAGGGACCCCAGGGAGACTGCAATCAGAAAAGCCCCTGCCCCCCTCAAGTGGCGCAGACGACTGCCCCGAGGGGCTACAACCAGCAGCCGGCAGAGTCCTGTGGAATATCAGCAGCAAGCCCACAGGCCCACCCGCAGCCTCCCACCCTCAAGCCAGCTGAGCCCGGAACCCAGTGACTCGGAACCCAGGGGTGACCAGCCCCGCCGGGGACCCAACAGAGCCCAGGGACTCAGATACCACCAGGCAGCCACCGAGATTAATCAGGCAGGTGCCAAAAATCTTAAACCCCCTAACCCGGGAGCCGCAAACACTCAGGCAGACCAAGGCACCGCACTCCACACCAAGTGTGGCAGGGGGAGGGGAGGCGAAGATGTGTAGCAGCAAAATAAGTCCCAGGAGAGGGGAGGAGTCAAAGACCCCACCTGACATATACAGTCATACACAGACACAGTCACACACTCCCTCCCTCATGCTCGCACATACACATACAACCTAAGACGTACAAAAATGCATGCCAGACACCCACTCATGCTCCCCAAACACACCCTATTCACTCTGGTCATGGTACTGCTGCACAAGGGGTACAACCATTACCGGTTCCCAGATTTCAACCCTTTCTGCTGGGGTACTGATGAGCAGGCTCCCCTGCCCAATGCCGAGCAAAGCGACCCCCCACCCCAGACGGCCAGATCTCCCTCCTAGCCTTCAGCCCCGGGAAGCCAAGCGACAATAGAGGTGTGCTAAGACCCCTAGTCTCACTCCCCCTGCACCAATACCGTGTTGGTGCGTGTTGATGAGGTGTATTCGTGGCTGTGGTGAGTGGGCAGTGCAGGCATCATCTGGCCTACGCCAGCTGATGCCACCACACCACCCCTCTTCCCCCACAGCCCTCTGTGTCTAAGTGCGGTTTAAAATTGGAAGTGGGCACCAGCACTCGTGATGAAGCTGAAAGATACCCTTGCCAAATGCCGTTGAATGTGCTCACTCCCAGGGCCCTAAGTGTGTGTTTGCGTGGAATATCGTTGGTGGAAGTGTTTAATGTGCAAATAAAATTGGGGGGCAGGCTGCCACAGGAATGCGGAAATGGGGTCCATACCCCCTACCCCCTGACTTGCCCACCCCCCAAGGTCCTATATGCACGTTTGTGTGATGATGTGAGGGAGCAGGAGCGAAATGTGTGGGGATGGGGAGGAATGGCTGGTTGGGCTTAGCCCTCCAGGGATCCAGCTCCCCCACTGGCCCCAATAGGCACCTCCATTGCCAAAATGCCACCCAGGGCATGGAGACCCCAACCCATCTTGCCAGGGCCCAAAGCAGCAGCAACGCAGAGCTTCACGGAGTCCGAGGGAACCAACGGAGCCCCACCCCAGCAGAATATCTACTCCCATCCATGCATTTGCACAGCTTCCAGAATGTATAAGACATAGGACATCCAGGTTGGGTCCTCCCCCTCCTGGACATACACCTCCCCCGTGATGGGACAGCAGAGGAGCCAAGGTCTACCTGAGGCCCCCGAGCCCGGGCCAGGCACTGCCGCATGTTCCAGCCTTCTTCCCGGCAGCATATATGTCAGGACCCAACCCCCAAGGCCCCGCCCAGATCCCCACACGGAGCCAGCCACTCCCACGCCCCAAGCCCTCACCCAGACCTACTCAGGGGCAATGCAGCCACCAGGCAGCAGCCTATGGCCACCGCCAAGACCCCCAAGGGGCCCTACTCACAACCGCCAGTAGTCCACCCCCCGAGGCAACCCAAGCACCTCCAGAGGGGGGCAGCAGCCCCCCCAGCCCCAGACACCCCCAATACAATATTTCTTGTTTTTAAAATTTTACTTGAACTGCAACTTAGATATTTTTCAAACAACGCTATAGGTTGCATTGGATAAGTAAAGCTGGTTAAATATATTATTTGTGCTGTAAAACAAAACCATTAAAGTCTTTCAAAAGGGGCGGTCCTTTTCTATACTCACTGTGTACCTTTAGTAGCTGAACCTCAGAGCCCCACCTTCTCCATCCAGAATGTAGTCAAGTGGGAACATGATGCCACAACCCATGATGTCTCCTTTGAAGCAACGAGGACCAAAAGCGTCACCAACCCCACTTCCATGGAAGATCTTCCCATCATCTGGCAGTGAGGAAGAGCAGGAAACAACAACTAAACATCAATGAAGCACAACCAGTTACGGCTTTCCTGGTTCTGTTATCCTCATGGTCCAGCTTTGGATAATTGGAAGACAGACAGACAGATGAACAAATGGTTAAGTGTTTGGAAGAACACCCAGATGCTGCTGAACTGAAAGCAGCTAAATAAAGACTCATGGCAGTTTCACATCTTGGTCAACACGGACCGGGCTGGGTGGCATCGGTTTTTACCTTTTTTTACCTTCAATCCCTGAAAATATCCATCAAAATGTTGTTGAAAATGAATAAAATGACATCCAATCGTTGAAAAACATTGGCGGCTTAGTAACATTAACCATAAAAATTGGGTTTAAAATACATAGGGTGCAGGTCTAAAGTCTCTGGAGGACGCCATATTAGACGTCATGTTTCATGTGAGCCAGCTTGGGGTCCTGCACCTGCGGATGACGTCATACTAGATAATTTTTGGTTAGTCTGGACAAATATGCAATTGTAGTCCTTGCGGTTGCAGTCCTGTAGTTCAAAAAAACTTTTTTGGAGAAAATATGTTTATATTGGCAAAGGAAATATAAAATAAATACAAAAAGAGACCCTGAGCAACTCAGATTAGGATGAAATTACGCAAAATGTAGAAGAACTTTGAACAAATAATAAGTATACAACATTTCGAATGAATTTATAGATTTTTTTACATCTCGTCTCCTTCCGCATATCCGTGTGTATCGGTGGGATTGAGGAGCTCCTCAAAGTATTCCTTCCACCGCCCAACTATAGCTCCAGTTGACGTCAACAGCTCCCCATCCCCACTGTACACAGTGTGGGCAAATTGCTGCCTTCCTCCCCTGAGACGCTTGATGGTTTGCCAGAACCTTTTATTTACATATAAAACTAAAAAAACCATACATCCAAACAGAAAGGGTTGCTAATTAAAGTGACAATGTGTAGCTTTTACCATTAATCTCTGGAAATATCCATCAAAATGTTGTTGTAAATGAATAAAAAGATGCCCAGTTGTTGAAAAATATTGATGGTTTCATATCTTATAACCATAAAAATCAGTTCTTCATAGGAGCGGGTCTAAGACACTGGGTGACGACATACTGGGTGCCATGTTTCCTTCTATGGAAGCCCGTGAGGACAGAATGCATTAACTGATAAGTAACAAATGGTTACAAAACTTTCACCATTAATAAACATAGTTGTTTTACACATTCACGTCTTCACTCGTTGCCAGTAATGAAAGGTAATCTGATGTTCTTGTCATTTGCTGGAGGTTGCACTCGCAGGGATTTTTGACCCTAATGGCCATCCGTTGGTAAAGTCTTATTAAAACACAAAAATAATGCTTGCTTGCAATGATTTAGGTATGTGTTGCCCCGTGTTGCCAGGGAAAATACACAAAGTCACTTCAACCAAATAAATGAAAAACGTTTCACATATAAGAACTGCTGTACATTTTGGCTCAGTCTGATGTTGGTTTTATGTAGTTTCACATTCTGTACAAAACTAAAACTATAAGATGTTTTCATAACAAATTGCAGTTAGAAAGAAAATATTTAGGTGGTAAGAAACATTAATTTAATAACAAAATTGTTAAACTTTTCAGAATTGAAAAAGAAATGCAATATATTTTGGCCGAGATGTAATGCTGTAGTTTGACGTCACCAGCAGGCACAGGACCCCAAGCAGATCAGGTACCTACAGTGCCAAAAAACCAGAATCAGCACTGAATTCTCTCGATTGGAATCAGCTGAAGAGCCATTAAAGTCTGAGGAGTCATGCCGAGGTTGCATGCTTTTTGCTCTACAGGTAACACCTTTTACCATAATGGTTAGCAACACTCACAGCATATGGTGTAAAACTACCCTGGAATGTATGTATGTACTGCCCCCTAGTGCCAGGAAACTACACACGGCCACTTGAAGACTTTTTAAAAAAATTATTTATCATTATTTATGGTTTTTAGTGGTATAAGCCAAACTCTGCTGGAACTAGGACTCATTGGCGTGTTTATGTTTAACATATTGGGACTGTACACTCTTTGGCTTTGATACACAGGACATCCTGACATTCCACTCTGATGATGATGATGTGCAAAACCACAACATCCAAAGAAGATCATCAAAGCAGCACATCCTACAGCCGTGACAGACAACAATAGAGCCAGAAAAAAAGGGCAGAAGAAAAACATTACAAAGATAGCCTGCAGACAAGTGCTCCTCAAGCAAAGACCAACAGCTGCTGCAGCAGGTAAATATTTATGAAGTTGTCATGGGATCCATCCTGGGCTCAGGATACTGTTTAAACAGCGTCTATCGGAGCACCGGGAGCCAGACGGAGACACTGTATCATTACAGCTCCCATGCGGGTCCTTTTAACAACACCACACACAAGGCAAACAGAGGAGCTATGCTGGCATGGGTCAACGTGCCTAAAAATAGAACAGCAGACCTCTAGAGAGGGACAAGAACTGGAGATGGGGAGCAAAAATTCAGGTTTAGACCTGAATTTGAGTTCTAGACGAAAAGGACAGCAGTAGGACAAGCGGGGCAGTGCATCGAAGCAGCAAGCCCATGGGATGTTTGCTCCACCAACACACACACCATCTGTTTGGCTGATGCACAAAATCAACCAGCCAACCAACCAACCAATCAATCAAAAATATAAACATTTATAATTTTTAAAATGTTTCAGCACACAATAGTCCAGTGATGTTTTATTTATGAGTTCTGCGTGCAAAAAGAACAAATAAACTAAAAACTGGTCAGTGTGAGAAAGAGTCAAAGGATAGTCAGGAAGATTCTACGATATGGTCAGCTGGACCACATGTGAAGGTCACCAGGGCTGATCTCAGAACAGCAATACACTCGGAACCAGGACCAGGCTGAAATAAATCAATTCACAAATGACACAGGTTGTGAGCTTTTGTGCAAAATCATTCACCTCAAACATCCTCTGTTTTAAACATAAACAGTTTCCCAGCCTTTCTCGCCACACGTCCCACCCTACATGAAAATCAGGTGGTAATTTAATTCCTTAGAAAAAAATAACAGCTTAAAAATGTTTGTAAAGAAAGAAAAATAATCAAATAATTAAAATCCAAGTTTTAGTTAAAGGAATGCGTGTTGGTTAAATCATGTAAATAATATTAAGTGTGAATGATGCTAGGCTACTGACAAATTGACTGGAATCCATTCCTGGGTTTGATAATGTTTCCATTTAGTGATTTGTTTCTGAGAGCTACGTTGAAATGCATTTAGTGGTTGATGAGATATTTAATCTAAGCTGCAGGGCTGTTTGTTTATCGCTGAAAAAAGAACCCCTGTTTCTTAAACATCACTTCAAACCCATCCATCACAACTGAATAAGGAGCATCTGTTTAGACGAAGTTCCGTCTACTCATCTCTTTAGGTGTCCCCCAAATCCATGATGTCCTGTTAGAGATCCAGTGTGTTTGTCATTCCTGCACTGAATCAGATAAGGCAATTATACGGAGGGTAGATTCAGCCCATTATCCACGGATAGATGGTGGTGATGGTGGTCAGAACAAATTCATGCTGCGGGTGTTGAGTCACAGCATGTGAGGGGAAGATGAGGGGTTATGGGGATAACAAATTACTCACAACCTATACACTGTTTAACAACTGTACTGCAAAGCCACACTTATGTGATTTATTCACAATAGTTTAATAGAAATAATCACAAGGAAAAACAACCAGAGATGCTGGATTGGATCCGTGTGTCAAAAATTACTCTTTACAGTTACCACCTGAAAATTTATCTCAAAGAATTATCTTTACCAGAATCCAGGGATGTGTATTTTTGAAATTCTGGCGATACGATACATATCACGATACAGGGGAGACTATACGATATATCGCGATATATTGCGATACATTCAGTCAGACGTTACAAGCAATTTTTTTTACTGAATTTATTGTAAGAATGTTCAATAAACAGTCCAAACTGATACGAAACATGTTTAACATGAGGTATCTGAACCATGATGGAGGGATTTACAGTTCAATGGTGGAAACAAAACCCATTGCACACTGCTGCCAACTAGAGGGTGGCGATTGAATTGCACAAAACGAAAAGAAAATACACACAAGTTTGCATGTAAATTCTTTCAAAAATTAGATACACAGCTTTTGAATATAGATGTAATAATCGAATGAAAAAATATCACGATATATTGCCATATTGATATTTCCAATACACAGCTTTTGAATATCGATATAATATTGTTGGGAAAATATCACAATATATTGCCATATCGATATTTTCTTACATCCCTACCATAATCATTTATAAAAATTTGACTCTGGAATTAAAAAACTTCCACATAGATGACCTGTTAAAGGGAGCCTAAGTCCCACCCATCTACCTCCGGACCATGGGTCCTCAGAAGAACGAAAAAAAAAAAAGAATGCAAGTCAATGAGGCTAAAAACGCTATTTTCTAATTCCGCTTGTTTTGTGGCATGGATTTCACATATAATGTAATGTGATTTTTAAAGACACATTTTGATACCAAGAATGCACTCCTATTTGAATGGGGGGAAACACTATTTTAGGTTTAGCGTGAAAATAATTCTAGGTCTACAAATGCGCTTCACAAAAGTGACATCATCAAACCAGACACAGAGAAAACTTAGGGAAAATGGCTGTACGTTCCGCAAACATCCCACAGGAGGAAAGAACCACCATAAATCTGGCCATTTGGTAAGTAGCAGCTACGTTAGGGAAGAGGAGATTACGGTATGTGTTGACGTAGTCAAGCTAGTCATGTGTAGTCATGCTAATTATAAACTTTACAAGCCGATAAATCTAAAAGTACGTGACTGGCATGGTCGAAACACCCATCATTACTTTTCGTTTAAATTGTATTACAACATAAGCGTGATCTAGGGCGTAAGCCCCGTTGACTTGCATTCGTTTTTTCGTTCTTCCGGGGACCCATGAGCCAACCGGAAAGGAAGGA